CTCCAGCTAGAGCCAAGTAGGTCAGGAAGCTCCTTACCCCTCAGCAGGCCAGAAAAGCCCCAGTCCAGCCATGGGTGCCATCCCCAACTGTGCACAGCTCGTTACCCCCCTGTGCTGCCCTGGGCACCAAGCACAGCCCTGCTGAGTCACACAGCTACCTTAGTCTTGGCTTGAATGGGAGCCCCGTGGTCCAGGAGGATCTCTGCAATCCGCACGTGTCCATTGCGTGCAGCACAGTGGAGAGGGGTCAGCTCATCCTGGGGAGAGACAAGGGCTCAGTGTGGCACACAAGGGCAGGGTTTCCTCAGGCAGACGAGTAAGAGGGACTTTCAACTTGTTTGCAAAATAAGGCAAAACTGAGTCTGCCCTCAGCCCCCAGGGCATGCCCTTGCAGCCACGAAGCTCTGTGGCTCCTCTCACCTCTACATGTGCCAGCAAAAAGACTGGTCCATCCCTTTAGTGCAGCAGGGACCTTCCCCCACAGCCCCAGCAAGAGGTTTGCAGGGTAAGCACTGGGCATAAGGAGCTCAGGGAGGGACAGGCCTGTGTACAGACGGGCTGTGCTCAGAACTGCTCTCACCTTGGTCCTTGTCTCGATCTGGGCCCCGCGGTCCAGCAGCAGCCGCACCATGATGATGTTGCCCCGGCGGGAGGCAATGTGCAGGGGAGTGATCCCGTTCTGCCAGGAAGAGCAGCAGTCTGTTAGAGGGAGCAGCCCCTTCTCTTTCCAGAAGGCAAGGGGTGAACAAAGGAGAGCCCTGGTAGCCTCCCCCTCTGCACTCACCTGTGGCGTGAAGTTGACGCTGGCTCCACGGTTCAGCAGTAACTGGGCCACACTGAGATTCTCATAGTGGGCTGCAATGTGCAAGGGAGTGAATCCAGTCTAGGGGAAAGAAGGAGGGATCAGCCCAGCCAGACAAACGCTCCCTGCTGAGAGGATGGATGCAGACAACGTACCAAGCTGCTGTTCTCCCTGGGGATGTGGGGAAACTCCCCGAGACAGGATGGGGAAAGCACACACCTTGGAGAGGACGTCAGCATTGGGGTCGTTCTGCAGCAGCACAGCGGCTGTGCGAGTGTCATCGTTGCGGGCTGCGATGTGCAGGGCGGGCAGACGCACCTTGCCCTTTGTCCCATAGTTAATAAGGTGAGCAACCACGTTCTCATGCCCTTGCTGGAGAGCCACGGCCAGCGGCGTGAAGCCATCCTGCCAAGGAGACCAGGTAAGAGGGAGAGAGCCATGGCAGAACCCGGCACATCCCCCCAAGCAGGGCCATGGGCTCCCCCCCAAGGATCTCACCTCTGTGGCTACATTCTGGTTGGCTCCATTTTCCAGCAAGAACTTGACAACTTCCAGGTGGTTCTCCTGCGCTGCCATGTAGAGAGGCGTGAAGCCTTTCTGCAAACACAGGGCCATGCACATCAACACAGCTCTCCTCGAGTTTCTCGAGTTCCTTGCAGACCTACACCCCATCAACACCCACACCCCCAGCTCAGTGAACTGGGGCAAAACCATCCCAGTGTGGGTGTGAAAAAGCAAAAAAACCTGGCAAGGGTGAAGCAATCACAGAGCTGGAACCCAGGGCTCCACACATCCAGAAAAAAAACAGGTGATGGCTCATGGAGTCAACCCAGGAGACACTGCCATTCCTGTCCCCAGCTTCAGGGACGTTTCTCCCATCAGGCAAAATCTAAAGAGCTTGCAGCCCCACCAGGCCCAAGGGAGAGAGTGTGAAGGAGGCCCAGTGTGTGGAGCTGGAGATCTCACAGCTGTGCCAGGAGGCATCAGCCATGAGCCCCCCCAGTTCCTGCATGCTTGTGTGTGCTGCCAGGGACTCCCTCAGCAGAGACCATGCTGGGCTCCCCACGGGCCTCAAGACTCCCTCAACACCATTTGCATGCTCATCTCCTTTCAGGGCTCTGGCAGAGCAGTCCTTGTCCCCAAACAGGACTAGAGAGAAACTGCAAAGGACTGCTGAAGTGCCCACGCTGGGCACAGTTCCCACCATGAGGACACCACCATCACACCCTGGGTGCCTTTCCCGTTCCAGACCAGCTCACCCTACCTGTGACTGGGCGTTGACATTGGCCCCATAGTTCACCAGCTCCCGGACCACGTCCTGCTGTCCAGCCAGGGCAGCGATGTGCAGGGCTGTGTTTCCCTTCTAAAAGACACCACAGGGCAGTGTTCAGGGGCTGAAGCAGCCCAGGACACCAAGGGAAGATGGGTTGACATGTGCTAATGGGCATGCAGACAGAGCAGCTGGCCAAGAAAGCCCGTGGGGGGCCATGCAGCTCTCGCTCCGTGTCCCATCCCTGCCGTGGACCAGCCAGCCACCCTCGCCATGTGCTGGCCGGGGAAGAGAGTGATTTCATCTCTCCCATGAAGCTTCTGGCAGTAAAAGCTGTGTGCACTGTCAGGTGCTGTGCATCTCCAGCACTGAGAGATGAGAAGGGTAGGGAGGATGGGGTAGATGAACTGGCAGTCTCCAGACAAAGCTGCAGTGTGTGCCCTGGTAGCCAAGGCACCCCAGCAGATCGAAGGGATGATGAGCAGGCTGGAAAACGCAGGCACAGGCTCTGCCTTTGGGTGGTGAGGCAGAATGCCAGACTCTGCTCTGTGTCCTGAACCTTGCAAGAGCACCAGGGAGGTGGCAAGCCAGGCCTCCTCCTGTTCTCACAGCCCTTCAGGCGGTGCTGGAGATGCTCATTTGTCAGCCCTGCTCGCTTGTGCCGCTGCCTCGCTCGTCACCAAGCGAGAACCACACCCCGCTGTGGCGATGCACGAGAGAACAAGATGTTATTTATGGAGCAGCAGAGCTCTCCAGGTTTGTGACAGTGGCACTGAGGCCACCTCAGTGCTGCAGCACGCAGGGGCAGCGAGGGCTGACCGGAGCCAGCAGCCCGTGCTGGGGGAGTTGTTCATAAGGCAGCACCAGCACATGTTGTGGTTTATGTTACTCCCCTTTCAAGGGGAGTGGCCCCTCAGGGGAGAGGCCAGACTGTCTTATCCTTACCTTGGTCGTTGTCTCCAAAACAATCTCCTTGTGCAGCAGCTCCACCACCATTTTCACGTGGCCCTCCTTGGAGGCCAAGTGCAAGGCATTCAGCCCGTTCTGGAGGGAGCAAAGGTGGGAGAGGGGAATTAGTCACCACTGGGGCTGGGGCTCTCTGGGGAGCCTCCTGCTCTGAGCTCCTGTGCAGACACGACTGCGGGCATTTGGACACCCACTTCCACTTCACAAGTAACAAAAGGGCTGGGATAGCTGCTGGAAAAGAGGCTAAATAGCTGCAAATGCCACTTTTTCTCCTTGTCCCTCATTTCTCCCAGGTGGATGCACTAGGTTTACTCACCCCTACACAGTGCTGTCACATGGCAGAGGGACAGGAGTTCCTGCCCAAGTACTCCACCTCCCAACCATCTGTTCGGACTCCTGACTGGAATGTCAGTTCACAGAAATGCTTCATCCTCTGAATATAGGTAGGGGAGTAGAAAATACTCAAGGAGGCTCCAGTTCCTGCCCTCAATACTCCAGTTAAAATCAGAGCAGCTTCAAGAGTGTTGCCGGACTAGAAAAGGGGTTTCCACCCTTTCTCACTCTAAGCACCAGTTGTCCAGGACCATAGTTGAAGAGTTACAGATTCTTTTGCTCAACTCTGGTTACAGCAATAAAAACAAAACCCCGAGGGTTTCCTCAGCATACCAGCTCCAGTGTTCCCTCAAGCCTCAAGCACAAAAGGCCTGTTTCCAAGGGGAAAATGAAGTGCTGCAACAGCCACAGAGCAGTGTCACTAAAAGGAAATACTCCCCAGCCAGGTCTGGCCACACTGAGTCCATCTTCCCTGATCAAGTCCAGCTTCTCTGATGAAGATGTACCGACACAACCCCATACAAATGATCTCTGGCACCCTTGCTCACAAGGGATAAGTGGCCACGGACATGAAGGCTTTTTATTGGTTACACTCATGTAACCAACACCTGGAGTGCAGACCACAGCTGCCCAGCTGCTCTCCTCAGCCCATATGCCCTTTTACGCAAAGGATTCATAAATAAGCTTTTGCATGCTGAAAACTGTGGACAAATCATTACTCTCTGTCCTAACAGCAGTAAGTGCAGCGTCTGCAGAAGATTGTTTCCATCGGTATTCCTGCTCCAGGAACAATACAGGCTGTTTTGCACATTTGCTTTGGCTTGACAGCTCATCTGACCCAAAACCGCCACAGGATGTGCGTAATTTGAAAGGTGCAGTGTTTTCCTCACCGAGTGCTGCAAACACTTCCCAGAAATCCCAGTCACTGGCTGCCAATGCGACAAATGCAGCCCTACAGAAAACCACAGGCTCTGCACTCAGCCTGTCCCAGAGCAGGGCCCTGCCCTGGACTGTCCATCAGGGCTGGCCACCCCAACACAGACCAGCTCCGGGCACCCACGTGCCAGCACAGCGCTGTTCCCTGCTGGGGAGAGTCCTGGCAGCAAGGTGCACTCATCTCCAGGCCTCCAGCTCCTCGAGGGTGAGATGGGAGCATGCTGGACTTTGAAACACAAGAGGTGGATGAAGAAGACGCTGATGCAGATGGCAGTGATGGAGGGGATGAAATCGGCGGATGAAGATCAGATGGCATGTCAAGGTCTCTGCACTTGAGCAAGAATACAGGGCCTGTGGGATAGGTCTGACCACATATATCCCTCTTTATTCTATACAGGACATGTGAGGTTGGACCTTTCCCACAGGTCTGATATTCCTCAGAAGGAAACCCCAAAGTGCCATCTAACCTCTGGGAGATGGCAGGAACCAGTGCAAAGGCATCACTGAGAGAAGTGCCTCGTTCTGCTGTAGCCACTCAGTCCCCATCAAAGTGTTAATCTCCTCACCAGCACCGGAAATCTGGCTGGAGACAGGACTTGAAGTTGGTCAGTGGAGACAGCTGATTGACCATCTCTGGGTGAGGAAGAGGTTCAAAGCCACCATCTTTAGCTTGTGGCTGGGTCACCCTGCTGTAATTCTTTTCAGAGCCCCCTCCAGAACCACATATTCCTCTGCACTACAGTGTTACAGGACCAGTGGAAATCCTCCCTCTGCTCTTAGGCTTGCTATCAGAAATGACAGAACATCCGTGGGGGCTCTACCTGTGCCTGGGGGGGCCTGTCCCCAGGAACTGCACTGGCCACCACGGCACACAAACCACAGGTCTGAACTTCGCTCGCTTTGGGGACTTCATGCTGGAAAAGGTGACTGTGCCTTTGTGCCAAGTCAGCCTCCCCAGCACCAGCCCTGCTCCAGAAGGGAGCCAGTAGTGCCTGGCTGCTCCCCCTGCTCGGGCTGAGCCCCCTGAGTCTGTCCCTGCCCCAGTTCAGGCTCAGTCACTCGCATTTGGCAGCTACACAGATACAAAATGTTCTGACGATGATGTGCAAACAGCTCCTTGGTGCCTGCAGCTCTTTGTTCCTGTGCCGACCTGTCTCTGCTCTGGATGAGGAGGGTTCCTCCTGCCCAGCACCTCCCAAAGCACCACGACTGGCATTTTGCAAACATTCCCTGCTTGTGATCAGCTGAAGCTTCTGGGAAGCTGAAGAAGCCTGAGCATTGCAGGCAAGAGGAATATTCCTCAAGAGCCACTGCTGTGATGTTCCAGCCCCTGTGCTGCTCTTTACAGCTGTCTGCTCTGCCCTCTGAGAAGCAGCTGAGCCCCTTCCAGATGTCCCAGTTGCTTGTCACACTAAAGGAGCCCTCTCTGCTTACCTGGTAATGTCCTTTGCTATGCTCCAGCAAGTACATCCAGGCACCCCAGATCTTTATAGTTATTGCTGCCCTCCTGGCCCCAACTGCTTCAGATCTGCCTTCTGGTCAGCCACATTGCCACATGAACTAGGGATGGTACAAAAGCCCTGTGGGTTTCACCTACCTGGTTACAGGTGTTAATATCTACCCCATTCCTGAGGTGATCCAAGGCTTTGTCCAGATTCCCGGATCTTGCAGCTCTCAAGAAACTGGTTGCAGCATCAGCCTTGGAGACAAAAAGAAAAAGCATGAAAACTCAGAGTCCTGGCACCGGGTCAGCGCTTTGCTCGGCTGCAGAGAACACAATTACAGAGACCTCCAGGCAGAAAAGGCAGAGGCCAGGGAGGTCACAGGGGGAACTGCTGCGACGGACTGAGGTGCCCCAAATCAGGCAGGAAGAAGGAGGGCTGGGACCTGCACTTAAAGTGAAGAGCATCCAGATGGCAGGGCAGGAGGTCTGCAGCTCATCACAGCACTGTGGGGATGGTAGAGAGGGAGGTCCTGCCACCACGGCAGCCCCCCTTGGCCCAGGAAGCCCCTCTGTGTCCAGGCTGAGGGACCGCAGCGATGGGTCTGTGGTGAGCCCACCCCTACCCTCCTGCAGAAGCCACTGGATAGCCACAGCAGCAAACTCAGGTACCAGCACCAGGGACAACGACCCCAGCTGAGAACCCTGCAGCTGTGAAAGTCAAAGCTCTCTCTTCTGACAGTGCCTCCCTGCACTGCTACACCACAGCCAGCCCAGGCCAGGCACAGCAACACTTCAAGCGACACCATGAGCAGTGTGAGGCAGCAGATGAAGACGATGGCATGGCTCACCAGAAGCTGGAGAACAGGGTGGAAATGCAGTGATGTGGGTCTGTGAGTCTGGGACCTTGGACTGGTAACTGCAAGCTGCTCAGGCCAGCCCAAAAGGCTCTCTGCAGCCAAAAGCCATGAGACATCCATGGCAGGGGCACAGGACATGTTCCTCTGTCCTCAGCTCCAAGAGAAAAATCAGAAGCCCTCTTGTACCACTCACATTGGGACCTCCTGTCTAGGAGAGCCTCCATTCTGCCACCCCAGAACATGCTGTAGTGCCCACAGCCTGGCTGCAGAAGAGTACCCAGGATTAGGAAGCTCCTGGACAGGAGCTGGAAGCAACAGGACCACAGACAAAAGCCCTGGAGGCAAATCTAAGGAGGATGATGTACCACATGGGTTCAGGCTCCTCTCTTACCTTCTCCTTACAGTCTCAGATATCTGAACTGGGACTTTGGAGCAGCACAACTCAAATGCCTTCTGCTCTCCTCCATCTGCCTCCCCAGCTCATCCTTTCTGCCTGACCCTCCTACCCCAGAGAAATGCAGCCGTGTCCTGGGCCCACCCTGCTATCCCCTGAAGATACCATGGACACGGTATCCTGGCCCTACCAGGCCAGGCACAGAGCTCAGCCTGGGCTCCCACCCCAGTGGAGGGTGCCATGGGTGGCAGGACCGCCGTGCCCCACGCTGGTGCTCGTGCCAGGGGAACACGTGCTGGCTGTTTGACCTCCTGTGCCAGCTGGCTCCGCTCGCTGCCACTCAGAGGAGCGCCCCGTCCAGCGGGGAAGAGCCCTCAGAGTCACGGTGGAGCCTGGCTCTGGGAGGTGTGTGAACACAGAGGAGGCAGAACACGGCCCCTCAGAGCTCTGCCCACACGGGAGGATCCACTGCCAGAGGCAGAAGGTGACAGCAGCGCGGTGCTTGGAAATGCTCGTTCACGCCCCGAGCCCTGGGTGCTGTCCGGGGTCCAGTGAGGAAACACCGACAGCTTCGAGCAACAAGCTGAATGCAAAGAGCTTTCCCAACTGGAAAAGCTTCCAGACCCTGCTGGAAGTCTCCGCGTCTCAGGTCAGGATTGAGGACAAGGCAGCACCTCAGCTGTGGCGCCAGCATGCCAGCACAGCACAGCCCTTGGACAGCAAACCCCCTGGAAACCAAGGCACAGCTCAGCCAGGGTCTGCCACCCATGGAGCTCTGAAGATTAAAATGGTAACTCCCTACATGGTCCAGCAGCGAAGGGGCTCCTAAAGCCCCGGCACACCCAGCAGCAGACTACAAGCAGAAAGCAAGCAGAAAAGCAAAGCAGAGGTCTCTGTGGGCATGAAGGAGAAGTGCATTGTATACTCACAGCCACGTCTGGACCAGACCTGCCCTTTCGTGCTGCCATAGCCCGGCACTTCGGCTGAAACCTGAGCCTGGTGTCCCCTCTCTCCTCCTTGGTTATCTACTCCCCAGCTTTGAGAGAGCCAGTAAGTTACATTGCATTCTATCTAAAAATACAGGCTCCGTCCTCTCTCCAACGCAGACCCTGAAGGGATCGCCAACTGCTAATGGAATTTGTTCATTTTCTCTCCATTATTGTGTCAGACAGGATATTTAATACCGAGCTGCCTCCGGAAAGCAAATGACTGCTGCCAAGCGCAGGGAGTGGGGCAGAGCTGCAGGTACCACCTCGGGAACAGCAGAGGAAAAGCACCCTGCAGACATGCCCAGGAGCCTGGCATCTCCCAGGTAACTCCTGCCACAGAGGAGAGGGCTTGCGGTTCCCTCCCGACCCTCTGGATGCTGGGGCTCGGGGCTCGGAGGATGTGCCAAGGCTGGAGTGAGTCAGAGGTGCTGCCTTTGGCTCCCTGTGCTCAGCATGTACCTTCAGAGACGCACAGAGAGATGCAGGGCATCAGACACCAGCAGTCAGACCACACATGCTGCCAGAGAAGATGGGATAGCTCAGCTCAAATGGGAAAAGCAGAGGAAATGGATCCACAGTCACTTTGTCCTTCTGATGTCAGGCTGCACAGTGGGACTGCCTGCCTGTTGGTCGGGGCAATTCGCTCCCCAGGGAACAGGAGCACGAGCCGGGCCACTGCCACCTCCTAAATTTCAGCAAAAGGGAGCAGCGACAGCAAGAAATGCAGAGACCTCGTGGACAAGTGCACATCAAGAAGATACACTCGAAACACCCCAGCCAGCACCACCCCACCACACCCAGCCAGAGACACAGTGCCCAGTCAGCACCCCCTGACACGCACAGGGTGCAGCACAGCCCTGCCTCGTGCACACAGGATGGGTCACCCCCCTTCCCCGAGCCCCAGGACACGCAGCAGCTGCTTCCAGGTGCAGAAACTGCCTCTGCCGCTTCTCCTTCACTTGGAGCTCGCAGAGTTTCTTTCCAGTCGTCTTCTCCTTCCCAGGAATTTCCCAGGAAGGAGCTATTCCAGAGGAGAAAATCAACTGCCCCACTTGCCGATGAGTACCTCTTGCACTCTCACTAAATCCTAAATTTAATCTGCTAAAGCCTATACACAGTCCTCATGCTCCACAGACTTGTGGCCATCCAAGCTGTGATGTGTCAGGAGGCTGCTGCCAGCAATTCCCCAAGAAAGAGGCCTCTGATATGACTTTGATAAGTGCTCCAAGACCTTCTGAAGTCAAAAACACAGCACAGAGCATCAGAATTGCGCTTCTATTCCCCTCCCCTTTCTTCTCTTCAGGAAAAACCTCCCCTTGCCTGCTGACAATATAAATTTTTCCCTTTCCCTCTGCCCTGGTTTCAGTCAGGATAGAGTTAATTTCTTTTCCTCACGCTGTCCTGGCCCTGATGAGAGGCTTCCTCTGTTCCTGTTCACAGGTACCCTCCTGCTCCTACACCATTAATGCCACTGTCCCTCCACCCCACCAGCAGAAGCCTGGAGCTGCCTGAGCCCATTGCACTGGAGCCACGGCCAAGGCAATAAGCAAAGGGGACGTTCTGCCAAACCAGAGGCTCGGGCTGGATTCAGGGCTGGATTCACTGCAGTCAGAGCTTCAGTAAGCATGTTGTTTCTCCTGCTCTTATCTCTTCAGCAGTGCCTGCTCTCACTCCCACCAGCACCCGCTGCCCATCGCCGATAGCAGGAGGGAGGGGCTCGGCACGGCCTCTTCCTGCCAAAGGTGGCCACACTTGGCAAGAGCCCGCTCTGTGCAAGCTGCTAAATGCTGTGTGTCGATGATTTCCAAGTGCAGATAAGTTCAGGGACTTGTGCTGATCTCCCCGTGTTTTCTGGGACACAAAGGCAGCGAGGAGCGAGTGTCCATGCCGTTCCAGCCTGGCAGGAGGCACCCCTGCACCCTGCTGCACTGCCCTCTTTACCCTGCCTGCCCACTGGTGTCCTCAGCAGGGCTGACACAGCCTCGTGGAGCAGTGGCAGAGGAGCCCCAGCACAGAAACCCCTGCAGGCCAGGCAGAACCCACTCACCCAGCAGCCCAAGGGCCCCAGGCCTGGCAGGGAGATGCCAATGGGACCCTGGCACCGAAGCAATGTCTTGCTGTGGACACCCTGTCTGGATGCTGTGGAAAGGTCCAGCTCACATCTCAGAGGTCATGCAGTTACTTCCAGCTGCTAATAATAATACCAGCCTGCTGGACCCCAAAGCCAGCACTGCCACCTGGGCAGGTGCAATAAACCTGGCATCAGCCCTTGGCATTTGCTTTGATGTCTCCTTGCTCGGGTGGGCTTGAGTCCAGCAGTGGGCATGACCCTCACCTTTGAGATATTGTTTCCAGCAGACAGCAAACCCTCACACTCGTGCAGTGGTTCACTTTAAAGGAATTTCTCTGGAGCCAGAGATCATTTGGACCTCCCTCTGCCTTGCCAACACCGAGTGCCCAGGTCTGCAGGTGATAAGATTGGTCCTTTCCCATTAGATGAGAAGAATTTGTCAGTCCTGCAAACACACTAAAAGAGCTGCTAAGGTTAAGAGCAGTCAGAGATTACATCTCTGTAGGTCCCTGCAGGATGATCAGGGAAGATCAGGAAAACTGAATCATAGATTCAACTCAAAATGATCAGAAATGGAAACCACACTGTCTGTCTTACAGGAACTTTCTCTCCCATCTGTATTAACAGAAACTGGATGCTCTCAGTGATCCCTGCAGTGGAAAGCAAACCTACTGGCAGGTTTCAGCCCTTTGAGTAGAAGGCAGCATTCAGCAGAGCAGCGTCTCCAGAGAGGCCACAGGAGCAAAGCCTCAGGCAGGCAGGCAGCAGAACATGGAAAACAGGCAGACACTGCAACCCCAGATGAAAGAGAAAAGCAAAAGCACTAGGAAAATTCATCTGATGAATGCACCAATCCATGTGCCCAAGTTCTGTTCTCTCACCATGCTCACCTCTGCCACGTGATTTAACATAGGTCCACAGATCTTAACAGGACTGATGAGAGTCAAGGCACAAGAACTCACCATCTGACAAGTGAGTTTGTTCTCATTTCACGCACCAGCCTGAGTAAACCCTTTGTCCATGCTCCTTTCTGCTGAGTGAGGATTTCACAACAGCCCCAAAGCATGTGTCTTGGTATGCCCAAAAGAGATCCCCAACCCATGATGGAAGGGGAAGCTCAACCATCTTGCAGCAGGTGAATCAGAGCATGCAGGGAATGAAAGATCTATTCATATTCCTGTGCAAGGGGCTGACAGAGCTGGAGACCAACTGACGGAGGAGAAAGCCCAAAGCAGAAGAAGGAGGGCCCCTGGCAGGCTTGTGGGAAGGGGGCAACTTGTCAATTAGCATTTTGACAGTGCTGAAGAGGGGGCAAGCTTTCAGGTGCCAGCACCAGACTGGCCTCTCCACCACGCACAATCCTCCATCATTACATAATGATGAGTAATGCACTTTTGGAAAGCCCCTTTCTGTGCCCAGGAGAGGAGTCCTGGGCTGTCACTGCTGGTGCAGGTCAGGTTAACTCGGTCCCTGCTGAGCGTTTGGGATACAGACAGCACCTGTGCTGCCATTTGACTCCTTCCTTCCCCCTTCACAGGTCCCCTTTCCCTGCTGCAGCTGGAACAGGTTCAGAACTGTGAGGAGGGCAGATAGCAGGAACAGTTTAATCTGCACTGAGCAAGGCAGCAAGGAACTGCCCCTACCCAGCAGACTGATCCTTCTGATATGGATCCCCTGGTGCTGCAGCTCTGTGGAAGCCTTCCCTCCAGCAGTGCCTGCCTGCTGCTCACAGAATTTCTAAGCAGTGGGACTGAGACCTTGTTCTGTCATTTATAAACTATCACTTCCCTATGAAGTACAGTGCTGGGTCCAGCAGAGAGTGGAGAGAGGAACAGGGGCTGGTCCAGAGAGCTGAGCAGTGAAAGGAGACCGGGACATCTTTCACAGAGAGCCAAAGTAAGGCAAGAATTAACACAGCTACTGCTCCTCTGCCAGCTGAGGCCACGCACACCCAGGGGAAAGCTGTCACTCCCCTTTGATGTTAGCAGGAGCCTCTGCTCTCTGCATATCCTGAAAAAGAAAAGCTATTTTTACCTCATCAGAAAATATATAGACTGTGACTGAAGACAATACACAAGAGCTTTTTGCTCAGGCACTACACCTCTTCTAACAGCATAACAACAATTAGAACTGCTGAGAGAGATGCAGCAGAACAGCAACTGCTTTCTATCTCTGCTTTCCTGAGGCATGGCCTTCCCTAGACCATGACATGGTTCAGGCAGGTCTGTGCAGTGAGCACTGGGGAGCTGAGAGGGCTTTTAGCAGGATGCCCAGTGCAAGGGAGAGTCAGAGACAGGATCTGAGCCTGCCTGCTGCCAGCCAGGGACTGACACAGCTTGTGGAGCAGCTTCAACCTGCCCTGGGCTCTGTCAGCGCCCTCGTGCTCAGGTGAGGCACTGGAGTCAGACCATGCCATCAGGATCTGCCCTGGCACCCTGTGGAGAAGGTTCCTTCTCTTTGCTAGCAATGCTCATAAACTGCTCCTGATTCCCGCAGTCTGTTCTGACTCATTCCCTCCCTCTGCTCCAGCAGGACAAGCCTGCACCAGCTCTGCCTGCCTGCACGGGCTGGAGCGCCGAGAAGGGGACTGTTCTCTGGGATCTGCACCCCGGGAGGAGTCCCAGCCCAGTCCTTGTGCTGGGGCTGCCGCGGGTTCACTGCCAGCCCAGCACTCGGGGTGCAGCCTCAGGAGCCATGCAGGAAGGGAAGCACCGACAGGAGAGCACCCAAAGCACAGCCCTGGCTGTCCCTGCCAGCAGTCCCTGCGGAGGACAAGCGAGCAAAGCGTGGCAGCACAACCCCCTGCCCTGCCCAGAGCCAGGGCACACCGTGCTGAGGGACACACAAACAGCCCCTGCCCTGCCCAGAGCCAAGGCACACCGTGCTGAGGGACAAACAAACAGCCCCCTGCCCTGCCCAGAGCCAGGGCACACCGTGCTGAGGGACAAACAGCACCCCGGGCACCCCCCCCAGGGGTACAACAGCAAAAGCTACCGAAATGACAAAACCAAAGCTATATATATATATATTTACACCTGTATACAGTTACAAAGAGACATATACAAACATATGTATATGTTTATATACATATAAACAAAGAGTCCCAACTCTCCGAAACTAAAACAGAAAATAAACCCCAATATACACAAATATACACAGCTAATGCAGAACTAACAAACCAAAGAACAAAACGCTTTCCTTAAAAAGACGAAGGCCACTTCACCAAAACCCTCAACCCAGACTGGGAAAAACAACCTGCTGTCTTCAAGTCCAATGGAAGAAAAGAGGGGAAGACCCTTTTCTCTCCTTCTTATTTATACTCATGTGGAAAGCAGGATGGAATACCTAGCATATGAGAGTTCCTTGGTTATGACCTGGTATCCAGGAGGAGGCCAACGTGGGGTCTAAAATCCAAACCACTACAACACAACATCACACCAGTGCAAAAAACCAATCCCTGGGGGCACCTTCCTTATGCCAGCAAAGCAGTGGTGAGAAGGACAAGGCAAATACAGCACCAGGGGACCTGGTTTCAACACCAGGCACTGTCACTGCTCCCAGTATGACCTTAGGCAAGTTCCCAGTGGTTTAAGAAGGGCAGCAAACCCTTCCTACTAGTCTGAGGTCCATTTAGCTGCAACCATTTTCTCTGGACTAGGACTTAAGTTCATGTTACCAGCTAGAATATACCTAAACTCCCTTGTGCAAACCAACTGACCTGATCCCTCTCCCCTTGTGCTGCCCAGCAAGCCCCTGGCCGTGCCCAGGTACTCACCCTCAGGTGATGCAGACATGTCATGGCTGCAGGAGAAGGTCAGCTCACCCTGGACACCAGGGTCTGCAGCTCTGATCAACCCTCTTACGCTGAATGCTGCAGCCAAATCAAGCGTGAGCAGCCGGGCTGGCAAAGGTTTATCAGCACCCTGTATCACTGCTCACACACCTGACTGCAAACCAGCACAACTCCTGCCTGGAGGCTGCAGATTACGGGCTGTCCCACGTCAGGGCCTTGGGGAGAGTGTTTATTGAGTGTCATGCCTGAGCCACAGTTCATAAACACATCTGTGGGCTGTCACCAGGGAGAAGCCCACGTGCATGAACCCTGTCTTCAAACCGTACAAGGGAAGATGAAACTTCAGCAGTACAAAGCAGAATGGAATAGCTCTGTGGCTGGAACCAAAGGGTCTCTTGGTCTGTGCCACACAAAGCAGGCTGGGCCAGAGGCAGTGAGCAAAGACCTCCCGTTGTTCACTGGTCTCTGCAGACCTTGGCTGGGCACGGTCTCGAATGAAGGACACCGAGATGGAACTGAAGTGGCAGATGAAGTCTAGTGACAGCAGCTCCAGGCTCTTTGCAGGGCCTAGAGCCCACTGCAGTACAACGAACGCGCCCCTTCCCCCCTTCTACCTGCACAGCAGACTCCTGCTCCAGCATCCCTTCAGGAGATCCTTGCTTGCAGCAAGAAGGCAAGGGGTCCATGGTTGGTGCATGCCCTCTCTGAAAGACACGCAAGGCAGTCACACCAGTTGTCCAAAGGAACGTCCGCCCCACCCTCTCCTGGGGCTCCAGCTCAGGGTGACCCTGCAGAGCTGTGCTCATCCCTCTGCTTGGGCTTTGCCTACCCCACCTTGGATCCAGGTGCCAAACCGGGGCCATCTGCACAGAGCACTGGGGGCACTGCAGGGAGCCCCCCAGCTTTGGTCCCACCAACAGGAGCTCTGCCCTTGCAGTCCAGCTGGGGTTACCTTTGGCACTCCTCAGGGAAAGGCAGTGCCACAGTGCCCGTGAGATTGCCCCCCTCGTTCTCCCCCACGGTGGGGCTGGGGTTAGCTCTGCTTTGTGCAGCCTCTGCCACTGGGGACTTTCACAAATCTAGAACAGGCAAACTCAGGAGTGAGACACTCCCTGGGGCTGTCTGGGAAGCTAGTGCAGGCTCCACCTCTAAGAAAACTGGTCTCTTTGCTCCATTAATTGCTGTCCCTTGTTAATGATAATTTCCTGAACACTGATGCCTCTACCAGGTCTCATTCACTCATTATCACCTCACCTGAGGCATCTCCAAAAGTTCCCCTTATTTAACTGTAGACATTTATCACTGCTGAAAACTCATATCACAAAGTCACTTGTTTTACTTTACTAACAGTTTGTTGCTGTTACCTTGCCTGTTATATCTAACAGTAATATCTTTGCAGTTCTGGAGAAACCAACACTGTGGGCACAACCCCATCTGAGAAATCAGAGCCTGGGAGAGCTTGAAAAATAACAAATACAGTTCTAAGAAATGAATAGCTTTTGATCCCAAGAGCTCTTTCCATTTCCGTGAAAACAACTCAAAAAACTAAGGTCTCTGGCAGTTCCTCAACACTTACCTGTTTCCAGACCCTGAACTGAGATTGTCTGGCTTGCTCATTCCCCAAGACTTTGTTCTGTGTCCTCTCCTTAGTGACATCTGAGCATATGAATGCCCCTTTGAAGCCTCAGAGACTGTACAGGTCAGTGCCACGTTGTACCCACAACAGCCAGCACAGAGTTAAACTGGGCCTCTGCAAAGGGACATGATTTACCTTGGGAAAAACAGGAATATTGTCTAAAAAAAGAGCTAACTCATACTGGGAAAAAGTGACCAAGAGTTACAGTGAATAATAGCAAATAATTGCCACTGGGCACCCGTGTGGGCTTCAGGGAAGTTTTGTGAGCCAGGGTTCCAGGATTCTCTCTTAAGTGCTGTCCCCTGGATGCTGCAACATCTACCATACCCACAGGAAAAATGATTTCTCCTCTGCTATCCTGAGATGGCTCCTGGGAAGAGGCTTGACATCACTCATGCCTCAGTGCCTTTGCATTCCAGGTTCACACCTGAGATAAAAACATTGAATTGCAGCAGCACCTGCAGACAGACCCAGGGGTGCAGAGGAGGTCTCTGAAAGAAACACTCCTTCAGCTACAAAGAGTTTTGTTTTTCCAAGATCCCAAGTGCTGCCTGTGACCTTTGGAGGAGCTGCTGGGCTGGTGGTGATGTAGCTGCGAAGGAACGCGAGGCTCCTTCCTCAGTGCTGGCATCTCCTGTAACCAGAGAAGTGATGGCCCAGCACAGGCACTCGCTGGCTGCTGCCACTCTGCCCTCAGCTGCTCTTCCTGTGCTTCAGTGACGTGTGTGCAGCAGAGAACCTCAAACACCTTGGAGGAGAGGAGATAACTCAACAGCGGGCTGTGCTCTGTGCCTTTACTCGGGGAAGGAGGTGCAGCCCTTCCTGCACTCAGCCACTTGAGAAACCATGCCAGGATGGGTCCAGGACTGCAGTCACTGAAGGGAACTGCTGCTCCCTGAGCACTTGGCAGTCCCCTCCTGGTGCAAGGACACAGGTACACAGGGGTTCACCTTACTCCAGCACGTCCCTTTCTGCTTACCGAGGAAAATGCTCCCCGTGCTCCTGTCACCTGCTGAGGCTCCAGGAGCAGCCAGGCTCCCGGGCCCTGCTCAGCAAGCTGTTCCCTCAGGAGACGTCAATGGAGCTTTAAAGCCGAGTCAGCAACAGAAGCTGAATAATTTAAATCTTTAGCAATTCTGCCACTGCTGCCCAGCCATGGATAACAGCAGGTACTCAGAAAAACAGTGGCGCTGTCAGGCTGCTTCCTCCTGTTGGGAGAGCAGCGGTGATGCAGGCAGAAATGCATAAATAAGGGGAGAAGGATGCTCTGCAGAGCTGGGATAGACTCTGCAGCTCGGAGCAGGCAACTCTCAGAGCACCACACGGCTGAGCCTTCCCTTTCCTGGGGTGTTTGTGGCTTCTGGCATGATGATCCGTGATCCAACAGGAAATTCATGGGTGCTGCTGGTGCCTTACCTCTCTGACAGCTGATCCTCAGCCTCCCAAGGGCTGGAATCATCAGCCATGATCACCAGAGGAGGTATGTGAGGGGTCCAGCACCTGCTCTTCAGCTTTCTGTCCATGGATGAGCTGTGTGGTGTTATGTGGGGAAGGGGGGACACAAAGATTTGCTGTACACAAATATTCCAGCCCGTGCTCTCTCCCTGCCTGCCTCTCCATGTCCTTTATTGTCAGGAGGGGGGAAAGGTGAGGAAGCCAATTTAGAAGTACTTCTCCCAAAATCAGTCTAAAAACCAGCACCCAGAAGCAGCCAATAGACATAAGAAATCTCTTCCTGTCATAGCCCTGATCTAAGAAACCATTTCCTGGTCGTTTATCAGTTCAGAGCTATTTAATCTGTGGGATTCCCAAAGGAAAGTCAGAAATACAAACTGAGTAGATGCTCTTCAGGTTTTGTTTCTTGAACTGTGCACTGCTGCCTCCAAAGGCATGATTTTGGAGGTGAAGCAGCCTGTCTTACTCCAAGAGACAGCTGCCTTGTGCCAGCATAACCACGATTTAGTTCCTGGAGAGGAAGAAGTCTGAGCCCCAAAGCAAGACATTTCAGCAGCCCTTTGCCCCTCCCTGCACATACTGAGCACACAGGCAGCTTCATAGCATGTGCCATTCTGGCATCTTGTGCCATGGCGTAGCAGGTGTTCCTTTTGCTCATCATTTGGACAAGCCAAGCAATGCAACTGAAAATTTCATCACATGGATTTATCTTATTTGTATTTATTCAGGCATAAAAACCCAGAAAGTCAGATCTTCAGAGTGAAGACGTGGAAGAGCTGCAGAGTTCCCAAAGGAAGGCAATATTCATGGCCCACTGTTTATGCTATGGCTGAGTTCTCTGCTGCCCTGGCTGCAAAGAAGATATCTGCACAGATAAAAAGTGTTCAGCAACCTCTGCCTCCAGCTCCCCTACCCAGGGGACCAGAAGACATCTTACCCACAGGATTAACATCCACTGTTTGTCCCCCTCTTAGAGACCAGGCGGTTCTGAGACCAGAAACCATCCCCTAGCTCAGCCTGAATCTGAAAAATCCCGGTTCTAGGAACAAGGAATTTGGCATTATGCCCACAATATGGGCCAAGGACAAATCACTTCTTAATTACTGCTCATAGTGCAGATTTCAGCTTTCACTCAAGCAGGTACCAAACTAAAAGACGTAACAAGAGCCTGCTCAGGCTGCAATTAATCTAGCCCAGCTATTGATCCTGTTGGATCCCCTGGTCCTGCTGTAACTGCAAGGCTGCAGATCACTGAGAGATACCAGCGTTTTTTACGCCTGTTTGGGGATCTCGAGACCAAAAGATTTCCAGCACTTGGCTGCAGTGCATGCCTGGAGGCAGCACAGACCGACCTCCTGAGAGAGCAGATGAATGCACAGTCCCCACCTGGGAGGCTGCACTCTGCTCCTCTTGGAAAGAAATCTGCTCTGCTGCTGAACACCAAGCCAGAGAGCAGCAACTCAGCTCTCGTCCCACACTTTCAGTGGACCTTTATTCTCAGCCACCCTGAGGTGTGTCCTGTGCCTAAATACCAAGGTCTGCACCAAGATCTTCTTGCTCTGTTCGGGCAGTTTGAAAAAATCTTGTCTCCTTCATTCTGCAGTGGCCAACAGCACTGAGAGCACAAGTCTGAGGGTTGTTTATTGCTGTGACAGCACAAGGGCACTCAGAATTACCTGCTTTCCTTCAGCACATCACCCAGCTGCCCTGAGTGCCCGTCTCCACAACCCCCAAAGGACATCTGCTATGTGCATGTCCAAACAAGTCACACATGTGCCTGTCCCCTCAGCAGAAGTGGCCGGAGATGCTGGGGTCACCAAAAAGAGAAATGTTCACAGAATAGCAATGAAGTCCCAGGGGCCATTTCACAGACCACGAGGGGGAGGATGGGGCATTTTGCCCAGGACACACAGCTTGACAGACTCCCAGGGAGGGCCCACAGCAGCCCCTGACTGTGCTGCTGCAGCACGCTGCCCAGCCAGACCACTGGCACATTTTCACAGTGGGAAAAGCTCAGCTTTATGCTCACTCCTGGAAATCCACTGTATCCAGCATATGTGGAGCTGCAGGAGGATGTCAGAGGCACCTGAGGCCAAGACCCCGAGGGCAGGCTCACCAAAACAGTGTGGGGCTCCTACAGAGGCAGTGCTTGAAGCAGGACTCGCTGCTTGGCTCCCTGGAGAGCCAGGGAAGAGAAAGGAGCATTTCCAAGGGTATCATTTAGCTGACCTACTTCCACGTGTGGCGCAGCACGGGAAGGACTCCCTCCTCCTCTCCCAGACTGGAGGGAGTTGAGGTGAGCAGTTGGGGTGCAGAGGTCTGCACCACAGGCCCCCTGGGCTGGGGCAGAGCACCCCCTCCCACAGCACAGTGCCCTCGATGGCACCGCTGGGCACAGAGCAGCCCCGCTCTGCCCAACGCACGAGCAGCACAATTCTACCCCAGAAACATCCAAATCCTCTCAGCTGCTGTTGCCATGGCAACGCCAGAGCCAGGATCCACCAGCCTTTGATGTTCAGATCTGCTCAAAGCGTGCAAAATGTTTAAAGCATGCAAAATGCCATTCGGAAGCTGGGGAGCTGAGCGGAGGAGCACCTGACTGCCCTGGAGATG